CATCACCCACACGACCTAAGTTTGAAGGGATAAAAGATTGAACACTCTCAAAGATTCCATACTAAAATTAGTTTATTGTTATCTTAATTTATATTCAGCAAAGTCTATTAGGCTTATGATCAGGAGTGATGATACATAAACTATAATTCTAAAAAATAGCGCAATAAACCACCGAATCTATATTTCTAGATGATTCCTTACTAGAATCCGCTCTAGTATTAAAGTTTAATATAATCTATCTTACCACTAATCCACGGCGAACAGCTACCAGTCTTTATATCGTCAATATAATCCTTGATCCAACTTGCTCCGGCAAATTTACGATCTTCTAGCTTTGAACTCACTTAAAACTTTCCTTCTTAGAACTTCGCTAGCACTATTAGACCCCTCCTGATAGAACTTCACGCGAATACTAAAGCTCCAATATATACACAATTCCTAATCTGCATAATCGCGTTCTCTTCTTGAGTTGGTTAGAAAGAATTACCATTCTGGCTCAAAGATTTCCCAAGAGGTTTTAATAGAAGACGCGATAAAGCCCCGTCACAATCTGAACTGAACCGTCTTGATATTCTCAAACGTATTTAGTACGTTGTTTTTAATTATACATATGTATATACATAAATGGAATCATTAAAAGTTGAAATATTACATTTTCCCAATGTTTAAATAAATTTTTCTTCTGTAGCAAGAAAAAAAATTCACAGAAACAGGAGTTATAACAAACCAATAGACCACTCACCGTCCAATTCATACTAACAGTGGAATGGAAAAAATCTCTATACCATTCAAATTACACATAAACTCTCCAAAAAAAAAAGCTTTAACTAAACATACATTCTTTCTCCCTTTAATGTTAACGTCATATTTTGTCAAATTTCCAGCGAGTTTTAGAAACATCAAGAGAAAAGAATTGTTAACTTCGTGAAAGTTTTCTAGCATGTAGTGATTTATATTTTAAAAGCATATTTATATGCATTTAGTGAGTTATTCAACATTTTCTTACAACATTTATAATGTATTATAATAGGAAATTTTAGGACTTGGTTCTCTTCTTTAACATTAGGACTACTTAGATCAGAGAGGGGCATTAAGTCGTTCGCAATCTACCGGTGGACCGCCGAGACATTTTGGGGTGACCACCTTTAATTAGACTTAAGACCCGTATACTAAAAGAAATATTTTCGAACACCGACACAAGCTAGACTGGAGAATTGGTTTTTCACAATCGCGATGCTTGCTTATTGCAATTTGCTTATTAAGCAAATAATTCGATAAATGTGTAGATGAGCCGTGTACCTTCATTAGATCGCTTAACACGTTTGTAACGTGCTGTAAATTATTTTTAAACCGTCCAACTATATCCAAGAAATTATTGTTGTTTTAATTTAGCTTGTGCTGTATGGCAACATTATGTACTTTGTGTTCTTTACCGTTAATAAAGAGAGCTGTGATATAAAATCAAGCTGAGTGTATTTGTATTTTAAATCCAGCTTATTAGAGTCACCAACATAATTAATGAAGGCTACACTTATAAGTTTTTCACTGTAGGGGTCTTTCTCGATGTCAAACGAGCATTTGATAAGATGTGGCATGATGGGCTCATCTATAAAATGATTAAGTTAAACTTCCCTGAGTATCTAGTTAAAAAATCGTACACAATTTTCTTAAAAACAGGTCGTTCAGAGTCAAAGCTAATTTTGACTTTTCGAACAAGGGCTTTCCAGAGGCAGGATGTCCTCAGGGGTCTTGTCTCTCGCCCCACTTATACAATATCTACACTTATGATTTTCCCCATCATCCCAGCGTCAGTATCTGCTTATTTGCAGACGACGCTGCGGTCCTCGCCCAAGGAGCGAACTTAAAGTACACTCAATGCGCACTCCAACGGTACCTCCACACTCTTGAATCTTGGTTGACAGACTGGCGAATAGCAATAAATGTCGACAAAACACAAGCTATTGTTTTTAGAAAACACGGGCGCTCTAAAATTCCTAAAACTCTATACTTATTCGACGAAGATATCGCGTGGGTTAACGTGGTACGTTACCTGGGCCTCTTCTTAGATAGTTCTCTTACATACAGGCAGCACACCAAATACATTTGTGATAAGTTCTGGACCAAAATCCATCTCAGCATTTCGCTGATTGAAAGGAGGTCCCCGCTTTCACTTAGGAATAAAGTTTTGCTTTATAAGCAAGTTCTTCGCCCACTGCTAACGTATGCCACCCCCGTTTGGGGAGCGGCGGCCCCAACCACTATCAAAAAAGTTCAAACTATGCAGAACAAGATTCTTCGTATCATGACAAATGCGCCTTGGTACATCAGAAACAGTGTTTTACACCACGATTTAAAGATAGACCCTATTGGGGATTACATCACCAAACGCTCACGTAACGTCTTTAGGACTATTGAAAATCATCCAAACCCACACACTAATTCAAGCACAAACAATTTTCACTATCCCCAATAGCAAACACAAATTTGCCTACAATTCGACAAAGTGGTCTCAACCTTTAAAACCCCCGTAGCCAGCTCTCGCCCTCCCCCCTCCTCTAGCACTTTTTAGTCAAATTCCTATGCACTCTTGAATTATGAACCACACTGCTTGTTTTGTTCCGATTCCATTCCATTCCTTTTTCAGCTCCTGCTCCCGTCCGCTCTCGCTCGTGTCGTTCTGGCAAGGCAAGTGGCATGTAAATTACGGAGTTCCTGTCCCTAAATGAGGGACGTACCTCCTCATCAGAATTGATAAAATTAGAGACGAATTAATGGGGTGACATTAAGTATAAGAGAAAAAATAATAAGATGAAAGATGTAATTAAGATGGGCAGAACTCTGCTAAAAAACAGCGGCGGACGAAGTCCGCTCACCGAAGGAAGAAATGCCCTGCTTGCTGCGTTTTGATTGGTCGAAGCCAATCAACGCAGAAAGTGGGCGTGGAAATGGATTGGGTCGATCCTAAAATAACGACCCGAAACAAGGAGATCTTGGAATTAAATAAAACATTCCAAGATCCCATAGAAAAAGAGGGAGGAGAAAATAAATTTTGAATAAAAATTTAAAATGAACCAACTTGCACATTGCCTGTAAAAATGGGGGGTGGGGGTGGGGAGTGGACCAAAAAACAAGAGAGTAAAGGACTGATCACGGTATAAGAATTTATATAACGCAATGAAGTCATATAAGTGGTAAAAACATGATAATAATTGATAAAAAAAACAAGGAATATCCAGCTCTCAAAAATAAAACGATCGTTCCGAAGAGCGATTAAATTTATGATTGCTGGATGTGAAACGAATTTTAAAAGAATACTAGATAGTCGTCGTTCTGGCCAGTTTCGTGTTTGGCTTTGCCCTCGTCGCGTCCTGGTTGGCTTTGCCTCCTCTTGTTGCCCCGCCCCTCCCCTTTTTTGGGTTCCTTCTCAGGTCGGCTTCCGTCCCTCTTTCGCCATCCATTCTGAGCAGAAGCGCTCGCCATCGATCTTATTTTCGTTGTATTTTAAAAAAGATACTATTATATTTTATGAATATATCACTCATCTAGGGCTCCCTTGGATCATTTGAGAGAAGAAAACGGCATCCGCAATTATAATTTATTTGTCATAGTTTACAACGTTCATTGCCACTGTAGCGGAAAAAAGTGATCGTTGCGATGCCAGCCGTAAACATGAATTTTCCCATACGCGGACTGAAGGGGAAAATAAATGTTGACGATCAGCTCATCCCAAGATAGCACGGGATTGGCTATTGAGACATCTCACATCCCGAGCTTTCACGGGTTTGCGTTCTTGTGTCTCCCGCAATAGTGTGAGACTCGTCAGCAAACAGATTAAGTAATGCGTCGGTTTTAGATTCATCGGATCATGTATGTCCTCTGCTCTTTGCAATGAATACATCCACAGTCTAGCTATCACTGTGTGGTAGTTGTTCAAGCATTACACTTGAAAATTTTGTGTTGCTTGCATTTTTGAGTAAAATATTTTTCATATTTAAAAAAAAATGTACACACAATGTCGAAAACAAATGTTAAGAAAAAACATACTGTTTTCATACAAAATAGCTGCACCTACGTCGACAGGTGAACCACAATACCTTAAAATCATTTAAAGTAGCCCGTATCCTAGAAATGTCTGCCCACATCTGACTTAGATCACTTGTAGATCAAGATAAAATTCTCTAACACTGTTAGGAATAACCTTAGCACCACATATGTAGATATCCCTAGAAAAATTCGGAAGAATATACGATTATTTGTTTAGAAAACTTTAAAAGCTTCTTCCCAGCCAATACAAGGAAGATACAGAAAAGCCAACATTCGACAATGACCGATTCATTTGCCTTATGTGAAAATTTGATTACGGATTTGAATTACTGTGTTCAAAATTTGAGTGATTTTTGAATTCGTGGCTATCATGGATTCATATGTGTTGTTCCCAAAAGAATCGATTATAAGTGATGCAGTTCTAGAAAAAATTCCAATTTACTCGGAAAGCACTTGCCTAATTACGTGGTCCTTTCTTGTGCATTTGAAAATAATCGATGTAACATGATTTTCAAAAATTTATCTTGGAGTAATGTATATATTGCTCACACAAAATTTAGGCAGAGATTATAATCTGAATACCACTAATTTGTTCCAGTGGAAGATTTTAATTGTATTTCTACAATATATTTCCCCCATTTTAAAATTAAAACACCATAAAATATAATTTTTGAACTCCACATGTTATTCAATTCCTACTATTAGTTCACACTACCCTTATATATATATTTATTTATATATATCGTGTTCAAATTTTCAATCGTTAATAAAATACTTTCTATTCATCCATTCAAGTTTAAATACATTTCTTTAAACTTGTAGTGGTTGACACTTGATGTTAATAGTTTTTTTCAAATAGTATATATATAATTCATTACTTCTATTTAATTAATGAATAAAAAGTAAACAAAAAGTAAAGTCCAACACCATAAATAAAAAGGAAAATCGTTCGTTGTGTTCCTGTAGCAAGCGCAATGGATAGCGCGCGCGTTGGACTTCTGATACAAAGGTCGTGGGTTCGAATTCCACTTGGGATGTCCTAATTTCTGCGAATGTGATTTCTTTCAACTATACTATTTTATTGGGATAATTAAATTTAATGAATGAATAAATAGTAAACAAAAATAATAGTCTAACATTATATATAGAAAGGAAAATAGCTTTCTATTTTTCCACTTAATATTGTGATTCTGTCATATGTGTACATATATTTATATTAATTGTAATTATTTAATAAAAAGTTACTAAAATAAAAATTTTTCATTGTTGACTTAAGTTGGAATTGACTTAAAAAAAATTTTTTTTTATTCATATTTGTAATTACTTAGTCCTAAATTTAATTTCTAATTTTTTGGAATAAATCGCTATCCGAAACAATGCAAGAGCTATGGAAGCAAGTCTCGTAATTTTTAACCATGGTCAAGCAAGGAGGACAACTGAGCTGGCAACCCACTCTCCTAACTTTCATATCACTCCAAGGTGAGGAGCCAAGACAGATGTAACATTCCCCAACCCTTCTGCACAGCGCATCTTCAGTAGAAGTAAGCTTGAACTCATGACACGCCAACCACGAGTCCGTGACCACCAAATCTTCATTTTGGGGATGCTTAGCTATAAAAATTTATAACTTTATATAATTTATTACTCACAATGAGATCAAACTTTATGGCGCAACAGCCCAAGGTCTACTGTGCCCATCTCAGCATACGTGACCTTAGGCGCATGAGCAGATGTTCCAACCAGGTGGTCAGTAAGAAGCGAAACCCCCAGTTTTTCAGTCTCCAAGCAAACTTGGTGCTCATTTATCGACCCACTAAAGGGATGAAAGGCTGAGTCGACCTTGCTCAGACCGAGGATAGAACCACAATGATAAATTATATTTTGAGATTAATTCATTTCTGAAACAAATTCAAAATACATTAGATAATTATTGTACTTTTAACCAACACCTTTTTTTACTCTATTCCTTTGAATTTCCCGTATTTTTTGCTCGTTTAGAGTGCAATGTTTCTAAAAGATGTCTCTAATAGTCGAGTAAAGTTAAGATTACAGAAAAATATCGAAACCGGCTTTAAGGTGAGGTTTTATTGCACTCTTTTAGACTAGATAAGGCGGGAATTTTCTTTTTTCTAGATCGATGTACCGCAAACTACAAATACTATTTCTTTTAAATTTGGAGCTTAAAATAGAAGACAAATAAGTGATTATGAGAGGCTCATAACAGAAAATAATTCTGATACTGACTCAGATAGTGAGTCTGAAATTTCCGTAAATGAATTTGGAAGTAATGAAAGTTCTCTTGTGGTGTAGATAGAATTAATCAGTATCTCACAAATTACCCAATAACAAAAAAAGGCAAGAAATAATAGAAAAAAATATATTATTTCATCTTTTAGATACATCATTGTGGAATGCTTTCGTTTTATATCAGAAACTGGGATGAAAATTATCTCATTTAAATTTCAGGCTTGATATTATAGATCGCCAGATTAAAAGACATGGGACGGTAAATGAGAAGAAAAAAAAAAGGACGACCAGAAATTTTGCCCAGTCTCTTATGATTGACAGAAAAACAAATTTTAGAAGTGATTCCTCTTACCTACAAAAAACTGAGACCAACAAGGAAATGTTTTGTGTGTCGGTCGAAAGGAAACTATTTTGGAAAACAGGAGAAAAAAGAAACAATATTTTTGTCCCAATTGCGATGTTGAACTAAATGCTTGCTCCCCATTTTAAAATTTACCACACAAAAACAGAATTTTAAGAGAATAATTAACTGAACAGAATATCTTTTTAAATCTAATATACATTTCTGTAGTGCTCCTCTGAGTTCGCTTATTTCTTCTGAAAAAAGCCAACTTTAAGGAAAAATATGTTTTTTTCAATGAAAATAAAAATTCGCATAATTCTTTTAATTAAATATTTATAACATTTTTGACAGCTGATTTGAGTTTATATAATTGATTTCATCTTCAAAATGTTTACAAAAAATATGCTTATTTTTTGACATAACTTGACAAAAAAAAAGAAACAGGTAACTGGTTAATAAAGCACATTTTACATAGTTAAAAATTTGAAGAAAATGGAAGTTTTACTAAGTGCAATACATATGTCTCCTTCCCAAAAGAGATCATGATACAATACAATTAAGTTGAATACCCGACAAATAAGATTAGTATATGTCACAAAAAAATTGAATAAATGTATCTTGGTATTTATTAATGTAGTAAATTTGAAAAAAAAAACTAAACTTCCAACTGGAAAGAAAAGTTATTCAATTACTTAAATAATTTAAGAATTATACTAACATTAAATACGTCTTTGGTTCAGATGAATACAATGTGCGTAAAATTTAATTTACTGACGAATGCTGCACATTATGCAAGTTACACATATCAAGAAATTAATGTTATCATGCACAACAAACTTTTATTTTAATCATCAGGAGCAATATATACAAACTGAAATATAACTTGACATATACAATATTTTACATTTGTTTAACTATTTACACTAACAGAGAGCAGAAAGGAATTCTAAAAAGTTTGAAACATTTAACTAATTTTCACAGGTATTTCAAAATTAAAATGTATAATTTCAACTATATAATCACGAAGGTAAATTACTCCTATAATTTGAGATACAAAACTTCTCTGGAGAACATTTTTTAAATGAAAGATCATTTGTTACCATTCGGCAATTGTGGCTTGGGTGAAAAATCTTTTTAAAAAACACAAACAAAATAGGAACGTGCAACTACAACATTAAGAAAAAATAAATATACAAAGACCAACGTAAAAAACAGTGTTAAATAAAAGAAAAAAAAACTATAAAAAATTAAAAATCTACAGCTTTTTTTTTTTTTTTTGTACAACAGGGAGGAATTGATTTACAAGAACTTGGTTCTATAATTACATTTATAAATATAAATCAAATTTTAAATAATATCCATTATAAGTACTAATTTTTTAAAGAAATATTAACACTAATGTTGCATGTCAGAAAAATCTTGAAAAAAATATCCATTACACAAATCATTTGTGGTAAAAAAAACTGCACTATAATTAACTATATTTCTACATAAGGATTTTTAATTCAATAAATTTTTTAAAAAATCGAAATCTGAGCATATTCTATAAAAATTAATCCCTTTAGTGGTTTGCAAAATATGCTAGCTCTACTCTTTTACTATGCCTTGTAAAACAATTTAAAGGTAACTATATTACACAACCCTGATTTCCTAAAATTCAGCAGTGACATATGCACATACAGTGGATACATATTAGAAGAAAACTATGATGATCCTAATTTGACTCAGAAAATACAGTTTGAATAAGAACTTATTTTAACATTAAAGGATTATACGATACAAATTAAGGCGAGTTTCATGGAAAATAGAACAGATTTTAAAAACTTAAATATAGTACCTAAAACTAAGTTTTTTTCAGAGTAGCCCAACAAAAAAAAATTTTACTTATAACTATAGACACAAATGTAAAAATCCTATTTTTAAAAAAATGTTAAGCATAACATTTCATTTTTGAAATGTGGATCAATTGTTCAGTATGTGCAAAAAAAATTTTACTTTTAACTTATAATTAATGATTCCAATGACAAAATCCCAATCCCTCCCAAAAACTTTTGTACACTGACACAAAACCTAAAAAATTATGCATAATGAAAACAACATTTTAACAACAGTGTTCAAAACCCATCTATTTTGGATTATTAAATAATTCATATACTTTAGATTTCTGTTCCTTTAGCATTTAGTAGCTGCTAAATGAATATCATAGTGTCTGTTTAACAATTTTCTCTCCATATATCCCTTGTTGCAAATAAGACAAACAAAAGGCCTTTGCCCTGAATGTATCCTTAAATGTACTGTAAGATTCCCTTTTGTATTGAAAGTTTTCCCACAGAAATCACATCTGTATGGTCGTTCTCCAGTATGAATACGAGTATGCTTCTCAATCCAGGATTTGAAACGTGCTGAGTAAGAGCAATATAAACAGCAATATGAATCATAATTAAGATCATTGCCAGATGACCTGTGCAGTCCCACCACATCTAAAAAAATGAATACGTAAAGTATTACATTGGGAGTACTCTTTTATTATTAGCATAAGTCATTTGTAATTTTAATTAAAAAACTACATTAGCATTCAACTAAATTAATAACAAATGTTACTTTTTGAACAACAAGAAAAAAAAAGCAAACATAATAGCTAAATTGAAAGTAATGTAAAAATAAACTAACAAATATGTGTTCAATAAATTTTCTACATAATAATTATATCAGTATATTTTTATTTATCTAAATAATAATAGCTTACATTTTCCAAACACTTCAAAGAATTTTATTTTCAATCAAATTACAAAAAGCTTCTTTATTCAAAATGTGAACTAATGATTTTAATGATATAACATTCTTTTTATACATTTTAATGTAAATAAACTTGATATTACATTTGAAAAAGTTAAAAACATTTCAGTATAGTTAAAAAGGAACATTTTAAGTTCTGTTAATCTAAGAAATGCACTGATATATTACAGAAAAAAAATTCTTCAAATTATAATTCTGGATTAATTTAATTTTTTTTTTTATCATGTATCCATTTTGTCCAGGAAGGGAGAAAAAACATTTGCATAAAATCACTTAAAGAATGTACACACAACTGATCTTGAAGTTATTTATGCTAAATTTCATTATTCTTGAAAATGTACTTGTAAAATTTTCTGTATATATAGATATATAATAAAACATCTACTAAAATATTTTAGTACAATATTATAGTACATATAAAATATTATAGTACAATACTTCTTAATAATACACATATATTGAAACATTTTATTAACTCTAGAATTCTAGACCATTACCTAGTTAAAAGACTAAAACAATTTTTAAACTAAACTATTGTGGCAGTTTAACACATCTTGAAGAGAAATTGATTTAAAATACTCCATGGATGACATTATGTGCAATTAATTATTGCATTATGTCCATGGACGACATTATGTGCACTGTCATGTA